GTTGTATTTCTTGATACATGTATTATTTATCTTACGTGATTTACAGTTAAATTGTAAAACTGAAAATTAAATGTAAACAGAAAATTTACTGGTTAAGTGAATGAATAAATGATAGCCTTACTAGATATTTTGAGAGATGGTGGACGGATCAGGTGCATATGGAACCCTACCGTGAACGTCGCTTCATATTGGACGGAGTATCGAGAATTACTATTTTTAGCGCTGACACCGGACGGGGAATGAGAACTGCCTGTTTCATCTTCATACCGGACGGGGTATTGATGGATGATATTTTTGGCATTTATATTGGACAGGATATGAGGACGGCCCGTTTTATCCTCATACCAGATAAAATATTAAGGGATGATATTTTTTACGCTCATACCGGACAGAGTATGGAGACGGCCGGTTAGTTGACAAGTTTTGATATGAGTTCACGCGCAATGGGACATCCTTATGGACCCCCATTGATACCAGTAGGCAAATAAAAAATGAAATTGTTATTCTTGCTTACTTGAATACGATATTATGATATTATTTAGTCATTATCTCTATAGGTCGATTTTGAAAATCTCGCAAACGGTAAGTATGAAATAAATTATTTTACTTATGATAAATGAATTTACTTAAATTAAGAGTTTCATTAGTTGTTTTTATTATTTTTACCAACCTTCATTTCTGTATCGGTGAGTAGTGTGATATTCTTACTAATTTAGTGTAGCTGACCCTTTCATTAATAATTTTAGATCAAGAGGATCGAGATCCAGATCTCCATCAATAAGAAGGTTGTGAAAAGTTCATCACCCGAATTCTCTTCAAATGTTAGTGAAAGTCGTCCTATGATACCTAATTGTTTACTTTTCATTTATTTCTTTATTTTTCGCTTGTTCTTTTAGAATAATCATTTCCTTAGCCTTATGTGGTATTTTAAATTATTGTATAATGAATGTAAACTCTAATTCTATTATTTCGCTTCTATATTTAATTTATAATTTATTTTCTTTCAAGTTTTGGATCGTTACAGAATTACTTTTTGTGAAGGCATTTGTTTTATCTTCAGCTTGAACTATCATATCAAGAGAACTCTCCATTCCACCTACTAGTATAAATTGAGTTTCTTATAGTGGTTTACGGATTAGGTTCATATAATTCTTTTGAAATTTTAATGCAACTTTAGTAATCTCAAAGCATGACAATGTAATTGAGCTTCCTAATCCATTATACATGAAGTTTTTTTTTTTTTTTTCTCCACAAAATCTAAGGTGTTCTTAAAAAAATAACTTTCTAACTTATTTTTGTATGTTTGTCAAATTTAGTTTTTAAGTTATAACTAATATACTTACAAGTAGAACGAAAAATTTTGTTTTAAAAAAGTCAACATCAATTATATTTTAGTTGAATTAAATACTACTCTTTAAATAATATTTTGTACTAAATTTAGTTAATTATCAATAAAATAATATATAAAAAATTTGTTATAAGATTATTATTATTAATATTATAAAGATAATTTAATTTAATCTACTTTCAAATTGTAATTAGTGCTTGGATTTTTAGAATCCTCTAAGCCCTTGACCATTTAAATGAAAAAGGTCAATGATTAAATTTTTTCTTTCAAGTGGTATTTAATTTCCACATCAACAACCGTAATAATAATTTATATTTGTTGGTGTCAATTATTTTTTTCAAAAATAGACATTTACCCTCCTCTTTCAAAAGTCATCATCAAATCTACACTGACCATCGCCCTTTGTTTAATTTTAATTACATGTATAATTGATTAAAAACCTTGGTTTATATTTTAAAATTAAATTCTATTTTTATCATGTTGGAAATTTAAAGAAATAATTTATTCATTCTCAAATAAGATCTCGTCTTTCTCTGACTCTCTCCCTAATTTCCCCTCATTATCACCGAAATCGAGGCCCTTGTATTTTTTTTTTATTTTTTTTCTCATTAATTATTATATATTTTGGAAATTGGGACACTGGGACCCACATACTGACCACCGTCAGACTCCTTTAATTTAATTTTTTTTATAAAATTAAATAATATATGCCTGAATTTCTCGCATTTTGGTCAAATACTCTTTTTTTTTTTTTTTTTTCTTTTATTCCTTCCTTCACCCGCTCCCTTCTTCAAAACTCTGGGCC